AAAGATCGTTTCGCCGAACCGCGAGCTGCTGTGTCGGCACTAATAGTTTATAAAGTACCAACATAAGGTAGGGAAAACAGCTGATTCGCGAGGTGTTGACTGCCATGCTTCAAAAATTATTCTAATTTTTGGAGGGTCCTTTAAATATGTATATTTATGTTATTTTTTGCGGCACGATTAATAAAACTATTTTTGAAAAAAAAAAAAAACCGGTTTTGGGAAACAAAATTATTAATCTGACTGTCATAGGATAATGTGCAGACACTCGTATTTTTAGTTGATACATATATATTATTTCTGGTAAGTCAATAAGGGACGTCAGCAGTAAATTACGTGTTTCGAAATGTTAAATGAGGGTTATACCGATTAATGATATTCCCATAATTGAACTTTAAAGCTTTTGGCGCTAAAACTTTCCCCAGTCCACTTTTTGCATAGATATATAAACTATACATTTTTGCACATTTTTCCAAATAAGTATATATTTTAAATTTTAAGTCAAGTTGAACTAATTCTGCTCAAAATATAACATAACTCCTTCATATCACTATATAGTCAAACTAGAGTGGGCGTGTACACTTAATTTTTTCATCGAGTAATGTGAGTAGAAAATAGAGTATTGAGGAATGTACTTTTATCCAATTTGCCATGCCTTTAATATATATATTTAAAATGTAAAATCTAATGCACTTTAAATAAAAGGGTTTCTTTTTCGCGACAGACGAACGGATATTACACAAAACCAATATTCCCTTTCACTTAAATAATTCAATTTCACTTCGATTTATCAAAAAACAAATCAAAAAACAAATGATAAACTCATGCCTCGTACAATACACTGGAATACATATTTCAATTTCAAGTTTCTCCATTTTGTGGCTAGCAAGATCGCTGCGTTCATACGATCACGCCTCCCTCTCCCTAACATACATATTTTAATGAAAACGTTATACCCTGAATTTCCTTTTTCAACGGGATTAAGATATTATAAACAAGAATGCTCTAATCCGGCTATACGACTAGATGATCTCCCAAACCCTATAGGATCTACGATTTTAAACATTTTCCATAGCGTGTATTTCGCATGAAAAACATGAAAATCTGACGTTGTTTGACAAAGAGACAAATGCAAAGATCCCGTTTAATGGGCTCACTCGGTAACGCAAAGAGCAGCTAAACAGTACTCTGTAAAGTGTCCTAAATCAATCAAAATGAATTAATTTAATATTCTAATATTAGGCGCCTTAGAAATGATTAATTCTTAATTAAGCTAAACATAGTTTTCCACATGAATAATGCTTATATAATTCAATCGATTAAAAAACATATATAAATCGTATTTAAGGAATATCAATAAATTTGCTGCTTAAATTTGTTGTAGTATCAAAAACAGATTAAAAATGATATAAAAAGTTTGCGTCGAGTGCCCGACGTAATAATTGGATCTCTAAATTCTTTTGACTCTCATTTAATAATGAGAATTACATTGGTTGAAATATGAGCATTGACAATAGACAATTTGACTCTAAAGATGTATTTTAATGAGATATTGTTAAAAGCTTAATTATTAAGAGGTTCAGCCAATAAAACAAAGAGAAGTGGCGAATAGCTACTTGGAGTCGTCGCTTCATGGCACATGGACATAACCAAAAGATTAAATCTTAAGCAGTCAAGTTTTAAAATTAAGTGTTTTACTGAAATCGGTATGCATAACTTTAGTTTGCATTATATTTCAGATGCTGCTACTGGAGGAGAAACCTGCAACGATAGACTCCTCATTTGAAATTGAGGAGTTTTAAATTTAAAGTTATTGAAAATTTCATCATTAGCCTAGATTTCACTATATAATTGTTTAGAAATACACTTCAGCTTAAAAAATTGAATTCTCAAGGAATTCTACATCTTGGAAAAGTCAATATGGTTATTCAAGCAAGTAGTAGACACAATTTGCGTAAATAGCTCAATCGTGAGCAAAGAGGAGGGTAGTAGGGAGCGTAGCAGAATATTACATATGTGTGCACTTAGATAAAATGAGCATGACATATCACAAGCATTATGTATTTTTGTGCAACAATAACAATTTTCTAACCTTTTAGATGCGGGTTTTACTTTGTATATATTTGAGTATGTATTCCACATTTAGTGTTTAGCTCTAATAGCGCTCAAAATATTACAAAATTTATACAAAATAATATGTAGTCGGGTCTGATTTGGCACGGCCTTAGGACGTAAACATATAAATCATTCATCAGTCTGTGGAGTCTTCTTTACGGATGGGCAGCAAAACAGCAGCAATTTGCATAAATACAAATGTATCACTTCCAACAAATACTCAACTTTATCGACAGGCAAGCCGACGTAAGATTCCAGATTTGCTGGATGTCATTGTATACTCTCAGCTACCAAAATAATTTTAAAGTTGAAGATAACTTTTTAATAAAATGTAAATAGGCAAGATTTTCTGCCACTAGAACTTAGAGCAGAAATAGCTGCAAAAAGAAAACTGCGGTTAAACAGTAGACTATGGGAAATAAAAAATGAAGCTACAGCAGAATATGTAAGGATTCTTGATCCGTATACAAGTGTATACAGAAGAGCTACCACAATTCTAGACAGCAGGGGACAACGTAAGAGACAATAATGAAAAAGCTAAAGCGTTTGCAGAATACTTAAGCTCTGTTTTTAAGATAAAATCTGGAAAATTATCCTGACACAGTCTACCGATATGCCACACGATTATTGCAGAAGTGGAAGGGGAAATAAAGATCCTAAGCAAGAGGAAAGCGCCAGAATATGATAAAATATGCGCAAATACCATTAGATATCTTCCGCCGAAATGCATCCGATTGCTCACTCACATATGCAATGCTATGCTAAGATTGGAATACTTCCCAAGACAGTGGAAACAGCGGAAGTAATCATGATTCTCAAACCCAACAAGCCAGAGAGTTGCAGATTGTCATATCGTCCGATTAGTTTGCTGGTGATATTCTCTAAAGTATTCGAAAGAATACTTTTAAGAACAATGTCAGTAGTGCTGGACGAACTAGATATCTTACCGGAACATCAGTTTGGGTTTAGAAGACGGCATGGAACACTCGAGCAATGCCATCGTATAACGTATGCAATTATTGATGCATTTGAACACGCAAAAGTCAGTGCAAGTTACATTTTCTCTGAGACCTGGAAGTTGTCCTGCAGTCACTTTAAATCGGTAAAAATACCTAGGTGTTCATCTTGATCGGCGGCTAACTTGGAAGCAGCACATCAAATCAAAACGAGAGCAGCTCAAGGTGAAAACCAGGAAAATGTATTGGCTGTTAGGACCACGTTCTGAACATAGTCCTCAGAACAAATTAAGGCTATATAAGGCCGTACTGAAGCCAGTATGGACCTACGCATTACGATACCAGAAAAAGACGCTCAGAATGATTACATGTGCACCCTGGTATGTGACTAATTATAATAACTACAAAGATGTTAAACTGATCCTTGTTAAAGAAGAAATACAACTATATGCTAACAGATACATGAATAAATTACATATCCACGACAATGCTCTATCACTAAGACTACTGGATGATTCAAACAACCACAGGCGACTTAAAAGATGTCATGCCCTAGACTTGCCCCACAGAAATAGATAAATATGTAAAGTAGTTAAATATATGGATTGATCTCATTGGAACCCAAGCCATCCGGTTATGTAATATTATTGTTAAAAAATTTGTTTATTGTCTAATATAAGACAGATTGGAAATAAAAACAGCAAAGTTAAAAAAATAATAATACACCTGGCATTAATATTTGTTAAGTTTTGAAAAACGTACATTTAATGTATGTCAGTAAGTTTAGGCATGTATATAAAATTTGTAAAAACTCAACACACGGAAATTTAATACAATTTTTGACTTTAGGTGCAAAATTAATGGCCTTTTACTTAAATTAACGAAATTTTGTAATGCTTTATTTTTTAATAATAAGTTTTGAATAAGATTATAAAAAAGGAGAGCAAAACTAAAATAAACAACTAAAATTATTCTGTTTTCAAGCTACGGCATATGTACTCTTCAAGAGTTGCAGGAAATAAACCACTTCATTCACTTTTACATGTAGAAAAGCGCTTTAAATTCGCTGTGAACATGATTGGTCATTCACAGCAAAATTAAAGCGTTTTTCTACATTATATACATGACATAAAAAAGCCTGCAGAATATTGGGAAAACTATGTCATTTGGAAAGCTTTTCGTAATTGATTGGAAGTGTTTGTTCAGTACCATGAATTTTAAAGATGACTTTAAAGAGAACGGCGGCTTTAGCTTTATTAATAGCAATAAGCCAAATTTTAATGTTGGAACTTGGCTCCTCTATAATTGTGCCAAAGTTCTTGATACACCACCCCAGAGAACCGATCAGAACTCCATTGAACATCTGTTTACCTACCTAAAGAAAAGATTGATAAAATGAGCTTCAAAGAACCGAACACAGTTAAAAGCTGCTATCCTAGAAGTGTGGCAAAGTTTGTCCATTCCATGAGACAACGCCTCCAGCATGTAATGAATGCTAGGAAACGTCATACTAAATATCAATATTAGCATAATTTTTTTCATATTTTAAGGTAAGAATGATCAAATTATTATGTGTGCACAGTTTCTTGACAGCCTAAAAAAGTGTAATTTTAGTTTTTGTTGTTTATTTTTTTACACATTTTTTATAAATTACATAATTTATCTCAATAAATATTATTAAACAGCTTAGCATTAACAAAATTTCGTTAAATTCCTTTAATTTTGTATCTAGAGTCAAACATTGTTTTTGTTTTTCCAGTGTTTAAAGAGTTTCTTGACAAACTGTAAGTACTTTTTAGTACAGTAGTTACACAATAAAAATATTGATATATATATGTATATGAGTTTAACAATTTATTTTTGAGTGAAAGCTGAACTAATTTCTAAGAAAATTACTTTCGCAAAAAACCATGTATACACATTTGATTTTCACTATAGATAATCATCGCCATCAAAAATGTTGCTAAGTAATCCTTCACCATCTCCATCACCATCTCCTCCTCCTATATCGAATAGATTATCAGCACTGGGCGGTATAAATGCTCCATTAAATGTGTCTTCCAGGCGATCCTCAAGACCCATTGTAGATGCAATGCCATATATCAATCGCATAATCACAAGACGAACGAAATTTGGTGCATTCGTATTTTGTCTTCCAGATTGGGAGTCCAAATTATTGTTTTCCAAATTAGATGCAGATGCTGCAAGAGCTGGCAATGCAGCAGAGAAAATTAGAGTCTGTATTGCTCTTTTCATGTTCTTTTTACAATAAGAATTTATATTTCTTATAAAAGATCAATGTTAATGTGTTGGCTTCATTGTTACTAAGCTCGATTAATGATCCAAATACAAAAACAGAGAAATGTTGAGTGCTTTTCAAATTAAGTTACAAAATTCTCATAGAGCATAAATATTCAATCAAGTGTTTGTACACGCGAAATACACATATATTTTTACATATATAAATATGTATATCTCATTTATGTAAAGTTTAAAAAAAAGTACTTTTTTTATTTTTATTAAAAAAAATTAAAAATTTCACACGAATTTATTACTACCAATCACAGTTAAAGAGTTAGATATAGAAATAAGTTAATATTAAAATTCTGTAAAGATCGACACGTTAGAAATAATATGTCCACGGACGTGATAAATCGAATCTGAATTTATAGTGTTTTGTTAAATTCTGTTATAATTTGCATATAATTTGTGCTACATCAATTTTAAATATATTCTCGCTTTACAGCCCAATTTAACAAGTCAGAATGCTCTAGTTGAGATTGCCCCCAATTAATTTTACGCAGAAACTCTTTACATACTGCAAAAAAATACAATGTTTAACTCTAGATATAAAAGGCCCTTCATTCAAAATTCATTCGAAATTTAGTTAATGCTAAACTGCTTAATAATATTTATTGAATTAAATTATAAAAAAAGATAAAACAAAAATGTATAACAAAATAAAAAAACAAAAACTAAAATTACCCTTTTTTAGGCTGTCAAGAAACTTTTTACACAAAATACTTTGACCGTTCTCGTGGAATGGACCAACTTTATTAAGTATGAACAAGTAAGAAAGCTCTAGTCGGGGTGCCCGATTAGGAGATACCTTGATCCCAGTCCTCTTTGAGTTTTTTCATATTTTCCGTAGTTTGTATCGACTATTCAAAAAAAAACCAATAAAAAACGGCATTACGAGACCAGAATTCTAACCCGGATTGTTTGCGCAACGTGCACCAACTCTACCAACGCCACCACTTTATAATTAAAAAAAAAAAAAAACAATAAAAAACATTTCATCTCACCTAGCTGCATACGAGCGCCGCATCTACCAACGCAGCCCTGGACCTAGCTGCATACGAGCGCCGCATCTACCAACGCAGCCACTGCACTGTTGTTAAGTAGCTAATAATTCAGCACAATTCAATCGCAATTTCGATTCTGCGAATAGAAAAGAATACACGCATTTGAATGAATGTGTGCACACGCATAGGAAAAATGCGTGCGCGTGGCGATGCTGACATGTACTTTTGCAAATTGGCCAAACGTTTTGTTTAATAACTTCTGTTTTACGTAATGGATTTTAATGATATTTTCAGCATATGATCTACATATCCTAAAAGCTTTGTTGAGATGCAAACGCCTTCACATAATGGCCCTAGTTCCATCTGAACTTAAATTTTTAGAATGTGGGGAAATTTGGAGCTGGTATCCAAAATCCAACAAAAATTTAAATTGCATAAAATATACATAAAGCTAAATACAAAATTTGGAGGCTCTAGCTCTTAAGACGTCCGAGATATAATTTATTAACTGCATTTCAATCATGTTTTTATTCGATAACAATTAAATGCGAATAGTTATAAATTTCAAGTCTCTAGCTCCTATAGATGCTGAGATCCACGCGTTCACGCATACGGACAGACAGACGGATAGGCCTCAATCGACTCGGCTTGTCGTCCTGATCAGGAATATATATACTTTATGGGGTCTGCCACGCCTCCTTCTGCCTGTTACATACATTTGCACGAAACCATTATACCCTGATTTCCCATTTTCAATGGGATCAGGGTTTAAAAAGCGATCTCTTGCCTTTTTTTTAGGATATGAGGTTTTATCTGTGCCCGGTTCCTTGTATCTCGTTTTCCCACTCTTTTCTTTAGGTAGGCTCACACATTGTTCAATGGCGTTGAGATCAGGACTCTGGGGTAATGTATCAACAACCTTGCTACAAATATAGAGGATTCAAGTCCGGACATTAAGTTAGTTATGCCTCGGATTAGTGTCTTGATAGAATTTAAAATTTGGTTTATTGCATTAAACAAGCCAAATTTTTTCAAACTTTTCTATTTATATTCATCTCTATAAATGTCAGTTCACCAACTCCACCGTTCTTTCCAAGAATTAGATAGAAACAAGACGCAATGTGTGACAGTTACTTCACAACATGAAAAAAGAGTAAATGAAAATGGGAAATCAAGGTATAATGGTCGAGTTAAAATGTATGTAGCAGGCATAAGGAGTCGTGACAGACAAGCGTTAATCTCAGCATCTATAAGAGCTAGAGACTTGAAATCTTTTGCGTAGTTCTGTATAAAGCACACGTATGGCAAGTTTATTTCAAGTATTCGACAACTTTTTCCGTTGTATGTATTGTTATTTATTAAAAAATAATGAAAATGCAGGTATTATCTCGTATCTCTTAAAAGCTAGATCCTCAAAATATTGTAGTTAGTTTTATGTCTATTTTCTAACTCTTTATTTTTTTGTTATATTTTGGATACCGGCTCCAAACCTCCCCAAACTATTTAAGTTCAGCTATTTAAGTTTGCTTTTTTACTAAGCTGACATTTACTACAATATAATATGTACCACATGCTAACAATTTTATTAAAATCCATTAAGTAATACTGAAGTTATTAAACGAAAGGTTTGGCCAATTTGCAAAAGCACGTGGCAAGCAGTGCCACACATTTATTCCAATGTGTGGAATTGTTTCTATTCGTAGAATGCAATTGGCGATTGAAAAGTGTTTGAATTGCCATCTACTACTTTAGTTGAGATTTGCACCTGCTTGCACAAGCAGTGCTGTGGCAGTGTTCGTAGAGGCGGCGCTTGCTGCCAAGAAGTTTTAGGTTCAATGCCATACAGAGATGGGAAGATTTTATTATTGTTTTCTCTTTTTTTAAATCTTGAAGTAGCGGGTTTGGTCATGTTGATGCACGTTGCGTAGGCAATGTTGGTTCGAATTATCGGTGTTTATTTGTTTTTTTTTTTAAATACTCGATATAACTAGTGAGCATATTAAAAAGCGCAGATAAAGAGAAGCATGCGGTCTGCTTACTGCGAAGCAGCGACTGTACTCTATCTGTTTATAAGTGCTTTACTACTATGCCTTTTTTAAATTTACTTACCAAATTAAAGTTTCTGGGAACAATGATGGCATACAGGTACATTTTAAATTTCAAATGTATGGCTTTTGTGGTTTACGAGATCGCTCAAACGGATGGCTGGATCGACTCAGTTCGTTGTCCCTGTATTTCCTCCAGTGGAAGGCGGACTTCAGAGAAGATTATGTTAGGAAATTAATTCCAATCACTGGCCTTGTGGCTCAGTGATAATATATTAAATAATAAGTTTACGGCCAAGCCGGAGTAATCTTGAACAGTCTTGTGCTGTCTTTATTCAAATCAGAACTAAAGCTATCGAACATGAAATATTCTGAATAAGCTTAACATAAACAATTTTAGGGCATGCAGCTACAAAGTCGTAGTCAGCAAGCCGTCCTAGCGGCAGTAATAACGCTGATCTTGCAACATATTGCGCTGCTGACTGTTGTAGACTTGGCGTTGACTTGAACTCTTTGCTAAGTCAGCGCTATGCTCTCGAGGGCTACTTCTTCCCCCTTAAAGATGATCCGTCCCGGGTCACCGGGTAGCTGTTCACAACTTCCTGTGCTCTCTTGAGATCTCGTCTTCTTCTTAACATTAAGCAGTGGAGAATTGAGCCACTAAGGCTTACGCTCACCCCTATGCCTCCTACGAACCATGCCACAGGAGACTCGTCAGCGGATACTTGTTATTTTAACACCTGAATAACGTGCGGGTTTTCTTCATTCATTGTGTGCAGCATTGGCAAACTCAGGGCTGAGTGATGACCTATGATGTTTAACAAGGATGAGGTCGCTTTGGTTCAGTCCAAATTACGGTTTACATAGTTGGTACCGTTTATTGTGGCCTGGCGTTTGAACGTTATCAGGTGCGTGCCTCGTGATACTATCTCTGGTCGTTCGTCACTGATGACTGTTGCGGTGTTGTCGCTTATGATTATTATGCCATCATCGATCAGGGTAATATGCTTAAGATTGTTTGGCCTGAGTATGACATGACGCCACCTTTCCAGCGTGTATGCTGCTTGCACAGGTGTTGTGTTCAGTTAACTTACAGAACGTGGCCTATTCGGTGCTCGAGCATTCAGTAACAGCCATAGTTCCCTCGGCGCAATCGGCTACTGTGTTGTGTAGTATATTCAGTATGGGGTGTTCAACGAGGATAGACTTTAAGTCATTGTAGTCAAGAATAGTTGGCTTTATGATATTCGATTTTACCAAGGTTATTGACAACATTAAATTTTGAATCTCTGTAATTAACATTCTATTTCGGGACAACAGCGTATCATACAAGTGAGGTGTATCTGCAAATCCATCTTTTCTTTCTTTATTTCATTTGTATGTGGATTTCGGTGTTTATCACCGCTTGTTTGACTCGATGAGTAGTGGCTCTGACAACTTTGGCTTCCCGAAGTCTGAGGCGTCCGGCGTTCCTGTCACTACTTTTAACATAGTCCCTAGAAAATCTCTACTTCTGGCTATACAGTGGTAGACCCTTAAAGCGGACAACGAGCTTATGGCGTGTTTGATATCTACCTCTAGAAGTGTTCGCATTGACGACCGTGGGATTAAGTTGGTTAGTCCATCTGTAGTCCGTGACTTTAGCGTTTGCTATGGCTAAGATGATGAGAAGTGTGCTGTAAGATTTAATTAAGCTAGACTTATTGGATTTCTTTCACTTAATACTACTATTATCATATGAAACCTCGAATAACTACCTCAGGTTGTCCTTATGAACCTCCCTCTCTCTAATAATTAAGCTAGACTTATTGGATTTCTTTCACTTAATACTACTATTATCATATGAAACCTCGAATAACTACCTCAGGTTGTCCTTATGAACCTCCCTCTCTCTAATAAGAACGCACGTTCCTAGATCAGCGTGAATGGTTTCTGCAGAACAGAGCGGGGTCAGTTTGTTGCCATATCT